CTGTCGGTGCTACTCGCCTTCCAGGATGGGGACCGCGTGATCCTAACTGCACCTGATTGGGACACTGCAAGATATGTCTGCCAACCGACGTCAGTGGCGATCTTGCTGCTCGTTCCTCTCTAAATTACCTGAATGAGTGTTCGGAGGTGTCTGTACCTCGGAATAATTGTGGTAAGCCAGCACTAAGTCCTTTCCCATCCATGTTTATTTTTTTTTCACAAGAATGCTTTCAAACGGATCATGGTTGTGCGGCACTGAAGCATCGGTGTTGAACACTGATGTCATGCTGTCGATGATGATGATTTCCGACCAGGCTGATCACTCTTCTAAGTTGTCGCGTAAACAAAATAAGAGAGAAACTCGGGAGATTCCACACTCGGTAGAAGATTTCGCCATCAACATTTATAATGTGTTAAGTGTCCGATACAAAAGTTGCCAACTACTTCTGTTTAACGATATTTCGTAGACATTTGCTGATTCCAAATGGGGGGTTTGTCCTGTGAGTGATGTCAACATATGCCGGAAAGCTGACGCACTGCGGAGACCGTCTCATCCTCGTTGGGAGTTGCCAACAATGTGCAGTTCACAAATCTTCAGGGCGACTCGACCTCACAATCTCCCGACCGGTATTCAGAGGTTAAACTGGTTCGGCCACTAGTGACTGCTCATTGCCGTGTTTATCACGCGCCACTCATCCGTCAATCACACAATTCGCATCACGTGGTCAAGCTCTTGCTGGACCACATCAAGGTGTATGGTCGTTGGCCTGTTCGTTGAGCTGAGCTGGGTGCGTAGTGATGGGTTGATGGTTGTCCACTGCTGCTGATGACTCTCAGTAAAGATGCTCAAGTTTTCCGGTTTTTCAGGAATGCGCACCGAAGTCACTATTACTGTTTATTTTTCTCACTACTAACAAAGGTTGCGTGCGCACTTTTCGGCAACTGGTAACGCATCCCAGGTGAACACGTGCATAAGCGGAGCGCCAGCCAAAGCACTTACATACGATGTGTGTGTGTGAAGTCGTTAAAAAGGTAAGTGTGGGCACAAGCGCATGACACATTTGTTAATAGCGAGAAAGTGAATGATAATACAGGCGAGAAACCACTGTACTCTTCGCGTGGGGCACTCGATGCATTGCCATGCCATGTGCTCACACTTTTCGGACAGTGAAAATCCCAGTGTGTGTGTGTGTGTGTAGGGCTTAAACAAACGCCGAGAGAGTTTATTCTCCTGAGTGTGCCCCAGTTTGCGTGCTCAGAGCTTAATTAACGGAGGTGGGGGGCAATACTCATTGCCTGAAGAAAGTGTATCATACTGTCACGCACATTTGATCAAAACAAATGCTTTTCTGAACTCCATGAGAAGGCGTACACGAGAAAGCGTGGCGATTCTCAACGAGCAGGAGAACCGGTCGATTTTTCATGATACGGTGATAGGTTGATGGTGTTCGTTTGACTGTGCGAATCGAGCGGGAGGTCAGGCATGTCTAGGTTCGGGCCAGCTGGCGGAATCTCGTCCCTGGTGCCTTGTTTGAGTTTGACATGGCAGCTAGGCGCCGAAAAGGGTGAACAATTATTACTAATATGCAGGAGAAACTTCGCAGTGTCAGATGGTGGAGACTAACTAAAGCACAATTCAGTGGGTCGACGGTGAGGAGTTTGTGGATTTGTTAATTACCGACCGTTATTGATATGGCCATGAATATTCTGTGATAACTTCAGAGTCGAACGGGCTAGCGAAGGATGGGAAAAGCTCATCTCAGGGGAAGAATGTGCGTGTTGGAGGGAAGGGATGAAACGAGTCCACGAGAGACCAGTTCAAAAGATATCTGGATGCCGGTATAAAGAGATTCCAATCATAGAATCAATTTTGGGGGTCCTGGAATCCTTCATTGTAGGGAGACAAAAACCCGTGAATTCGTAGCCGACATGGATGATGGGAGGACTGGCTACAAGTCATCTGCAGCATCGAATACGTAACGTCTTCAGTCGAGACGAAAGAAAACCGCCCAAAAAGCTGTTTAAAACACCGGTTTCCGAAGCAGTGCGATCCTTTGTACGGGTCAGTATACCGGCGAATAAAGACCACGACACGATTCGCATTGTTCACTCCAGTGAAGAACTCTTAACGAATCTGTTCCAGATGAGACCGCCATTCAAAAAAATAAGATAGAAGAGGATATGAAACTTGTACATTCAGTTTTTATTGAAGAGGATGAAATTCGGACATTAATATAATTCATATCGTTTCAATTTCCTGGTATGATGCCCACATATCGTAGATGATGATTGAGCTGGGAGCGATGCAGGCCTGGATTGCGTCCATCAAAATGGCTGCAGTTCGATCTAGCAATGGATACATTAAAACCTCTTTAGTTTCCCGGCAGATCCCTCCGAAAATCCACTGCCGGGGAAGGGTTCGCTCTGCGTGATTTTTACGGCGAGATATTAGCGTTTCACCGATCTCGACGTGTAGACGTGGACCGCCGATAACTGTTGAAGTCTGCAAAAGCCACCAGGCGCAAACTTCGCGAAGAAAGTTCTTCCAGTCAACAGTGGTCGTGTGGCTAA